GGAATATTACTCAGCCATAAAAAATGAGATCTTGCCATTTGTAACAACATGGATGGACCTACAGGGTATTCAGCTAAGTGAAATAAGTTAAAGACAAATACTATATAATTTCACTTCTATGTGGAATCTAATAAACTAAATAAATGAACAAACCAAACAGAAACATAGTCATAAATACAGACAACTTGTGGTTCACAGGGGGGTGGTGGGGGGATGGGTGAAATAGGTGAAGGGGATTAAAAGGTACAAAAATCCAGTTATAAAACAAATAAATCAGGGGAATGAAAAGTACAGCATAGGGAATTTAGTCAATAATATTACAGTAATTTTGTATGGTCACAGTAACTGCACTCACTGTGGTCAAATCACTCTGCTGTGCACCTGAAACTAATAGAACATTGTATGTCAACTATATTATAAAAATCAAACATTTCTAAAAGTTACGTTTTTTCAAAAATGAAAAAAAAAAAAGGTTTTCCTAAATGCCCATGTGGTAAATTGTGGGATACTGATGGCAGACAGCAGTGATCTTTTTCTCTTCTTTCCCTTGCCTAACTGTATCATTTCAAGGGGAGGTCCGCACACCCACACACATAGTGCTAGTCCATTTCTCGTTTCCTAGCTTTATTTCCCTAACTAGATTGTTGTCATTGGCAATTCTGTGACTCCTGGATCCCCATATCTATACCCACCCAAGTGCTCTAAAACACAGTAGGAACTCCTTAAGTGCGTGGGACTTACTGACCTCATTCTCTGAGCAGCAAGGCGTCCTTGAAGCCCATGGCTGAGTTGCACTGAGGATCTAGTTCATAGAGATGTCTGAAAAGACGGACTGGAAAAAACAAAGAGGTGGCAATGGGGGAAAAGGAGCTTTCTGTAGAAAATCATCCCTCACAGGTCATCCTTTCACATGCTCCTTTTACACAAAATACTGACCATATTAATACCTGAATATCTGACTTTAAACAAACCAAATGGAGGGTTTAACTGTTCACATTACACAAGAGCGTGGGGGCTCTTAAAAGAGCTTCTTCTCAAGTGCTTCTCCACATGTCCTTAAACATTCGACAGAGTTAGGAACTACCAGCAAACAGGGTCGCCTCTGCTGAGAGATTATCAATTAGGTACTATGAGCACTTCTGGGCTTTGCTGTTTACAAAGCATCTTGACAGTTGGGGGATTTTGTTGCTGTTTTAGGAAATTAGAGCACTGGAGGATTCTGTTCAGTACGGGACCCCCAACACCCCTACTCCTGAGTTAAGAAAAGAGGAGAGTTGACTGGGAGAGAGAGAGCCACATGTTGGGCTTATCTCTTACTAGCCATGACGCCACCAACCTGACATGGTCACCCTTGTGTAACCACTGTACGAGCAAAAAAATGTCCCAAACAACCCAAAGCATGTCTTCAGTGACCCTCTGCGTTTACTTTGAGAATTAAAAATCAATTTCTGTCGGAGCAGTCCCAGCGCTCCAGGAGAGCTCTGGTGTCTGGAGGCGGGCTTGTTACAAGGAGTAATAGGGAAACAGAGATAAATGAGTCCTCGACTTCCCCATCATATTTTAGTCAGAAGATGAGTTAAAAGAATTGTGTGTGTAGGGGAAATGAGATCTTTGAGACAATCTAGTCTTACCCCTTCTTTTTAGAGACAGCAAAGCTTATGTGACCTCCTCTGTGTGCAACCAAGACGAAACCTGAGTCTCTGAGTAGCGTGGAACTGGGGACCAGCTCATGCCTCAGTCTCTGCTAGACCCAAAATTCAGAGTCGTGGGGCTCCTTTACTTTATCACAGCAACCACAAATGGCTGGTGCTCAAATATTTGTTGATAAGGGAATGATACAGAATTTGGAACATTAAATTTTTTGAAGACCAAATAATCAGACTCAGAAACTAATTCCTCTTGAAGGAAAAGTCAGAATCAAAGTTAATTCTCAAAAGTTTGTCTTACTACTTTGTACCTTAGAACAAGAATCAGCAAACTATGACCTCGGGGCCAAATTGGGTTGCTATTTGTAGAACCCAAAAGCTAAATATAGCACTTATACTTCTAAATAATTGAAAAAGTCAATAGAATAGTATTTTGTGAAAAGGAAGTTACACAAAATGCAAATTTCTGTGTCCATAAATACAGTTCTATTGGACTGGAGTCTTGCCCACTTACCTGAGAGCTGCGTTTGTGTCACACCATCAGAAACGGTGGCTGAGACAGAAGACATCCGGCCCTTCACAGAAATATTGACTGCCTGCCCAGGAAGGCTGGCAAAGATCTGCTTGAACCCCAGCTGGGGTGTTGCCAAGAGGCACCCACACCTGGTGCGTCTTGTTATCTTTCAGGCATCACTGCCCCCTAAGATTCACGACTTAGTTCTGACCAAAAGCATCCCTCAAACCTATGGACAATAGCCAACTCCACCCTCAGAGCCCACGGTCGTCTGCAGGAACCACAGTGCTGGTGGAAGAGCTTCACTTGTTGTCAGTCTGGGAAGCTGCTGGAGTGACCATCTGGGTTAGTTACAATGACCAGAGATAACCAACTCTCGAAAGCCTGTGATGCACGCTCAGTAGCCAGTAGCTCCTCTTGATGGTGAAAACAGCATGTTTTTGAGAATTCCCTGCTTGTTTGGCACTAGGCACAGACCACACAAGCCAGGGACCTCAGGTTCTCAGTCTTGTAAACTTTTGGTGCTACCCATCCTCAATGGAAAGCCTGTCTGGTCATGGTCAGGGGCAATCTGCCGTTGCCAGGTGGGTCTGAGGAGGGAGACACTGGGGAAATGTCTCCTTTGATAGTGGATCAAGGAAGCATAGCCATGGGCCAGCAACTCACCAAGTGTCACTCAACAAGACAAGGGGGTGTCTCTGGCCCCTTGCAGAAACGTCCCCAGGGGAAGCCGGTGGGGGCGGGGCAACTCCGGACCCACACTGCCCCATCTCAGGCTTCCGAGGCACAGACACCCCTGGGCAGGCCCCGGAGGTCTGTTCACGGGCAGATCCGGACACGGTCCTCTTGAGGTTTCGCTGCAGTAAAGGCAGGCAGGATGCATCGTCTAGGTCGCTCCCTGCCCCCCGTGGCCCCAACATTCCCTTCACAAGGCCGTGACAGCGGCGAACATTTCCCGCCACCGTGTTCTGTCCTAGGCATGCAAGGGCTGGGAGACTCTGCCCAGGCTCTGATCACCGAGGTCCACGCAGACCTGGCTCCTTCCCGTGTCCCTCACGCTCTCGCCGGGTCTTCCCACTTCCCATTTCTACTGCGCTACCATGTCAGAGGTCTTCCTAACGTGCCGCTGTCTGCCGAGTAAACGATCCCCTCGCTAACCGCATCGCTTTTTTCTAACTCCTTCCCCCTTTCCCATCGTCTTCCTTTATCCTCTTTCTGATGTTTCCGGTCATTTGTCAAGCGGCGGGGATACTTGGGCCCCAACAATGGGTCATTAGAATTCCTAAGTTCGGCTACAAAGCCTGAGTGGCTATCAGGATTCACTGGCATCTTCCCTGTTAGGAAAATAAGCAACGTTCCTCCTGTTTCCAGTAGCTCCTACTGTCTGTCTAGCATCTATGTCCCAAAGGGCTTCAAGCCCTCTGCTCCCAGCGACCCTGATACCGCTTAGCCGCGACGAGGTCCTTCATTCAGCCGGTGCTCACCGAACGCCTGCTGCCAGGCACTGGGGGACACTCAGAAAAAGTGCTGTTCCTTCTCACTGGCCAGCCTCTGCCTTCTGGAGTAGCGGCACCTGCACCTGCACCTGGGCTCGCTGCCACACCCAGGGGAACACAGGTGCTGTCTTGCTCGCGCTCCTGAGAACAGGGCGGACGATGAGGAAATCGTCCTCCACCCAACTCCTAGGGCGTTCTACCCTTCCGCCTCTGCTGGGCAGGCCTCGTGCAGACACGAAGCAAGAATGGAACCCTGGCGCGGGAAGGCCTGTCGGCCGGTCTGCACGAGTTACTCGTTCGCCCAGAGGTCTTTGCAGCTGGGGCAGTAAATCCAAACCAAACCCAAAGCACCACGAAGCCTCAGACGCAGCGGCGGAAGCCTGCTGTCCCTGCCATCCCCACTCACCACCCCCGCTGAACGCCACGTGTGCAGCAGGCTCACGCACCGCGCGTACCCCTGCCGGCCGGAGTCGGGCGCCGAGCTCGGCCCTGCGCGCCACTCGGTTCCCAGACTCTGCCTGGAAGCCGGAGAGGCGGCGCGACGGCGGGCCTCGGGTTCCCAGGGGCACTGGGCGCGCAAGAGGGGGGGCCAGGGCGCGCCCCTCGCCTCTCCTCAGGTGCATGGACCGCCCGCCAGCGCGCCCAGGACCTTGCGGGGCAGATAACCACACAGGGAGACGACCGAGCTGCCACCAAGCCGATGCCAGCCGCGTCCGGGAAGCCAGCGTGGTGCAGGGTCGAGCGCAGCAAGGCGCCCGAGGTTGCAAGTCCCGCACGCGCGCATGCGCTATGGGAAGCAGGGCCGCCTTGGGGCCGTGGGCGTGTCTGCGGGTCCCCGGCACCGCCCGATCCCGGGCTCCCGGGGCGCCGTCCTCAGCCGGCCGGGGTGCTCCGCGGCTTCTCACCCGCAGGTGTTCGGCTAAGCCTGGTAACCTGGGGGTGCAGATCTGGGTGCTAATCATTTTCATGTGTACACAATTCATTTTCTGATAACCCTTAGGCTGAAGGTTGTACTGCTTTCCAGGAGACAAACCTATAAGAATTCTCAGATCTTGGGCAAAAGACAGAGCTTTTAAGGTTGTCAAACGAGCAAAGATAATTTGGGTTGGAATAGACAGCTAGGCCTACTTCCTGACATGCAGAGGTTTCCTGTCACACGGCTGACAAAGTATTGGCACACAGGACTCAGGCTTCCTCTTTGTCCCCCAAATTTACCAAGAATCTGTACACTTGCAGCAAATGTGAACAAATATATTTAGATATATTTAAAAGAATTAAAAAAAACATTTCACAAAACATTTGTTGCCATAGGAATTTTTTAAGCAATAAATGCCCACATCAAAATTTAAACATTGTTCAAAGTATGATTTATCTGTACTAATAAGTAATGCAACAAATTATGTAAACAGAGTCAGATACATTTCCTATTTCCCTGCAGGAGTCACTTCCTTCCTGGGATTGAAGCTGTCCCAGACAGTTTTCCAGGGGACCAATTAAGAAACTGCTATTTTCAGAGCAACAAAAATAAAAGCTTTTATTTGTTCATTTGAATATAAAACAGGCGTTATCACAGATGTACAAAGCTTACTGGTGGTTTAACATACGAGAAGGTTGCCGTCCTTTGCACATAAAAATTTTGTTTGAAACCGTGATTGGTTGAGTACATGAATTTCTCTAACCAGTCACCACACTCTATGAAATAACGCTGCTAACATTCAACTGATAAAAGGGGCAGTTTCCCTTGGGTAAAGTGTCAAGCAGGATTAAATATATATAATAAACAAGCACCATGAGGAAGCCGCCCTGTTGGGTTAGGTCTGTGTTTCAATGTTCATTGTGTACCCTTCTTTGTGCAAGTTGATTACACGGTTTTGTCTGACTTCAAAAGCACAAGGTCACAAGACAAACATTGTTACATTCTCATGAATGATTTATCTACAGCACAATTTCTAATACAGAACAATCCTTCTTTATTGCTGAAACGGGTTTCCTTTCCTTTTTCTTGCACAAATGACCTTCGATCCCAGCCCCCAACCCTTTGGATCTCAACTCTACCATGAGAGATGACAAGGACGTCACTAACCACTTTCACAACCGCCCCGTCTTGCACGTGAAGCTGACATGGTGAAGGTGAAGGTCATATTGGAAGTGATACCTGATTTGTTGTTTGCTTCCGACATCAGCTAGACCTCACAAGTTATCCCGTAGCTGTGTTTCCTAGTCAGTATCTTACCGGAAACCTTAAACCTCCTTCCCCTTAAACAAGGTGGGTGTGTGTAAGAAAACATCTTTTTTTCTGTGTGTGGTGGGTTTTTTCCCCTTTAGGAAGCAGAAGACTGTAGGAATGTGTATCTGAAGCATGTAGAGAATATTCACACACAGCAATGAAGTCAAACAATATCTTAAAAATCAAATAATTTGTGGAGATGGAAGGATGCACCCCACATGCAGACAAATTAAAAAAAATGCCACTTAAAATTTTTAAAAAACAATTAGCCTTGGATCTCGGAAGTCAAACAAAACTCTTTTAGCAAAGGGCTTACTGCTGGCGCATACAGCAAAGGCAGATGAAGACATTGCCTACAATATGATGAAAAGAGACTCTAAGGTTTGCCCAGCAACAATCTTGGTCATGCATTTCTAGCAACGAGAGCCACTGCAGGGTCATATTGGGGCAGTTATAAGATAGATCACGCTTGGACAGCGGATACCTCTTCTTGCCTGGACACAGATGGGCCATTTCGATCGAGGAGTGTACAGATGAGACGTGGAAATCGGAAGGTGTGTGAGGCGGCAGCAGCAGCGAGAGACGGAAATCAGAAACGTGTCATCCACAGGTGGTGAAATGAAGGCAGCTGGGAGGCTTTCTCGCTCCAGCCAGTGGCTCTGTGAGGAGTCCCGGGGCAGCTCATGAGGGTGGAGCCCCAGAGCTCTGGGCGGGGGAACCCCAGAGAGCTGGCTGAGGTGACGGTATCCTATGTGAGTCTTTTCCCTTAAAGCTGTTCTGGACAGTCTGTCCACTCCATACAATGCCATCTGAGGGGAATCAACACAACCCGGTGCAAATGACCATAAAAGCACTCCTTTTCATACCAAGGACCAAAAAGGGTGACATTAACAAAAAGGATGAACAACAAGGATTTCTTGCAGCTAAGAGAGCAGTGCTACTCAGCACCTGCCTTCCCTAATGTCCGCTCAGTGTCGTAAGCACACACTGGCACAGACCGCTCACCGTTGCCCCCGCAGCAAAGGGAAAATAGTGCACATTTCGCCTCAAATTCCTTCCCCAACTTCGAGATGGCAATAATTTCACTTGCTGGTCTCTGGTTCTAGAAGAAACATTTAGACCGGGCTACCGGCAATCTGGGATTGCTCGCATCAGCAAAGTGGGTGTGAGAGAATCTCGCTTTATCTACAGTACAGTGGAGGGGACACCATGCAAGTGACAGGTTCTGCATTTTAAACTTTAAAATCTCCTTTGTTCATTAGTGAATTTATATTTCATATATATATATTTGTTGTGATACTATCCACGCAAGATAATACAACACTTTTTTATATTAGCAAACATTACAAGACTTTAATGTTCTTGAATGTTTTTCTCTTTTATACTTCTAAAGAGATCAAAATAAATTAAACGTTTTGTACATAATTACATATGAAGAAGTTAACTTATTTTATCTTTTTAGTTTAGTACAAAGATATCTGCAAGAGAGTTGCCGAAATACACCTTATTTATAATTTCTTCTCATTCTATGCTAACTTCAAAGGCCGTATGTTAGCCTTTGTTTATCCAGCACATTTCTGACAAAGAAAGCTGCTAAAATCTAATCGGAAGGTGCTATTTGGAAGGTTTTCTCGTACCTCAACAAACTTTCCTAAAAGGATGAAATCTAGCAATGGCTTAAATTAGTAACAAGGTCCATGTCATTAAGATTTCATGACACATTAAACAGAGAAAACAATTCTTTGTCACACTACATAAATTGTTTAAAAGAACCCATCTGGAGGGCAGAATATTTTTTTAATTGCTATTTTGGCTTAACAAAATACCACATTTACGAAGAAAGCACTTATTATCCAATAATTAAAAAAAAAAGAAAAGAAAGTTTTGAAATGGGTTTTTCCAACAAACTGAAGGCAGTAATCCAAAGTCCTTCTGAGCAAACTTCAGTGGTAAATTCACATTTCACATTTCACCCCCATGCCAATCAGGACTGCTGTGGAAAGTCTCACCACCGCGTGAACAAAGGCTCCATTCTGGCGAATGTGGCCCTCATGTCTGCAAACTTGAGTGACACTGAGAAAAACGTTTACTTTCCTAGAAAAGTCTACGGGACCAGAGACGAGACTACATGTTGTAGGCCACATAGATGGGATCTAGCTGGTCTGCCAAAAACCCATCCCGCAGGTGCATACGCTGCTTCTCTCCCCGGGAGTTGATGGGGATGACACCGATGTCCACCACGACCACGACCCCCACCACCAGGTAGTGCTCCTCGAGAACCACGTTGGTCACTAAGGGGACCAGGTCCAAGGCTTCTTGCTCCGACCCATCAAGCTCAACCACCACCACCAACAAATTGGTCCAGGTGAACACAGCGCTGCAAGAGAGTAAAAAATCATCACTATGCCGTGAGGTGTTTATGTAACAATTTCGTTTTCTTTTCAAGAAGTGCCATCTGGTTCTTTTCTGATCTGCCTGCACATTGACGGTCTCTCTGAGCCCATGGCTTTTCACTCAGTAGGTGGCTGCACACACTCCTGTGGTTAGGGTTTTCTACCGGCCGGCTCTCACAGGGGCCGCCGCGCACGCAGGGGATCTCCGTGCCAGGCAGCACCCTGACACGGCCCTGCCCTCTGCTCCCAGCTGCGGCCAAGGGGCACGCGGTGCCACGGAAGCCCCACCATGTGCACACCAGGCCCCTAAGGTGGAGTCCTGGCCTTGGGCTTGGTGAGCGGTAAGTTAGCAGAGGCCGGACAGCCCCTGGGGCTCTGGGGCCGGTCCTGACCTCCCTCTGCCACAGCAGGACGGGGGACGTCGAGGGAGGGTGAGAAACTTGGAGAGCCACCAGCTTGGTGCCTGGCTGACCATGGGCCCCAGTCACACTGGGGCCAGACAACCCAGCGGTCAACTGCAGACATGGGGGCCCAACAAAGTGCTGCTGTCTGAAGCACTGAGTCTGGAAGGAGTGTCAGGCAGCAAGAGGTGACCTGTGTGGGGGAAAGATCCTCCAGAACATCAGAGATTCATCTGGAAGCATTTTATTTGGGATCTTTCAGTGGAGGGTCACCCAGAAGATTTGGTCGGGCCAATCTGTGGGAGCCTAAACTCAGTACTTTACACTTTAAGCCTCCTGCAGTTTATAAGGTTGGTCTTTAAATGGGGGTGGTTATAGGGCCTTAACAGGCTCTGCTCCTGGTGCCCGTGGTCTGCTGGCTGAGGCGGTCAGAAGCGTCCAGGGCAGAAGAGGCGTGGGAGGTGGGGGCCAGGCTCCAGGGGCCTGCAGTGGGTTGCTGGCATCTGCAGCCAGACGCACAGAAGGGTCTAGGAGGCAGGTTTCCAACCTTTCTTTGGGAAACTCACTACAGTTTTCTAAAACTGTATGGGTATGTCTATTCAGAAAAAAACCCGCACGTTTTGTTTAGTATGACCAATATATACGTTAATGTGGAAGGGAAATATTGGAGAATGTGTTCAACAGATTACTGCTTCTCGAGTTTGCTGTGATCAGTGTGTACCTAAGGGAACAGTCCTGCCAAGGTCCGTTCGCAAGATGCGCTGGTGCCAAATTCCCATAAAAGGACACTTTATGACACTAAAACATTGCTCTGTGTGGCCCAAGTGAGCCCACACTGAGTTTGTGATATCACAGATTTTACATGTATATTAGCCACTTGCGGTATAATTTTATTATAGCACCTGACGCTTATGATACAGTATCAGGAACCGGGGTTTCTGTATTTGATGGAGGAGGGGGTTTGCCAGGGAGTGATGGGCTGGATGAGCATTGTTTTCCTAGGGCCACAGATGTCCAACCCTGGAGACAACGGATGAGAAGGGCAAGATTTGGTTAGCTGGACCGTGCCACCCTGAAACAGCCACATGGAGGGACGTGAGTGTCTGCCTTCCGCCTTGGTGCGAAGTAACCGAGGGTGTGCGCTGGAGGAGGCGCCCAGGTCGGGCAGGGAAGGTGAGAAGGAGCAGGAAGAACAACAGAGCAGTTTGTGCTGGGCGGTTTCTGAAGGACCAGAGCCCCGCAGGATGGAACTATGGGTGCACATGTGAGGCGAGGTGAGTGCGAGGCCCCACGCGCATCAGGTGAGGCCACAGCAGGGCTTAGAACAAAAACTCGAATCCTGGAACAGAAACCCACAGGCGGCGGCAGGTAGTCCCCGTCACAGGTCTTTAAGGTGGAAACAGCCCTTTGCAACCAGATGGAAAATGTTTGCAGTAGGCAAGACAAACCAGTCTAAGTTATTTTCTTAAAACTACAGACCGGGAGGCTGTAATCGGTATGTACAGCTCGTGGCCTGGAAACTGAGGTAGCCCTGTGCCGTCTCTGGGCTGCAGTCTCTCCAGGGATCCCAGCTCCTGTCCACTTGCAGCTCCAGCAGCCTCAGGGTGAGGAGGGACGTCACCACGTCGGAAGCACAGGGCCACGCGTGGGTTCGCAAACTCTCTCTTCTCTCTTCCAGGCTGCCGAGCCGCCCGTGTCCAGGTCCCATAAATGGCAACAAATAACTAGCCTGTAATCAGCTCACAAGGGGCAATGAACAACTCAGGCCCATCTACCCACCAGGAAGGACTACTCATGGGCGATTTCAGAATGTGCCTCCCTTGGGGTTCCTGAGCTTCGAGATCACATCAGGTCCCTGCCAGCTCTGGGGCCAAATGAACGAACAAACCTACAGTTAACGGTGTGGAGCCTCTTTGCACCCTTTACCACCATGTAAAGGCACCGAGTGAGCTCGGGGCCCCCAGGCCAGCCCCACCAGCAGCACAGCCAACCACATGGACCAGGGGGGGAGGATGAACCCAAGGGCCCTCGCCGGCCTGGTCACTGGCAGCTGGGTGCAAATGCCCACCCACTACTCACCATTCTGTGACGCTTTTATGGGCTCTGATGACTGAGGTCTCAATGTCTATCGGGTGATACCTCATCCCCCGCAGCTCCATCGCTTCGTCCAGCGCCCCCACCACATACAGGGCATCGTGGCGCTCTGTGCAGGGAGTGGAAAATGTGTGTGAACCTCACCACAATGGTGCTCAAGCTGCTTTGTAAGATACTGAGATTAAAACTACCCCTGAGTGAGGGGCGCCTGGGTGGCTCAGTCGGTTAAGCGTCTGCCTTCGGCTCGGGTCATGATCCCAGAGTCCTGGGATCGAGCCCCACATCGGGCTCCTGGCTCAGCGAGGAGCCTGCTTCTCCCTCTCCCTCTGCCTTTCTCCCTGCTCGTGCTCTCTCTCTGTCTCTGTATCTCTGTGTCTCAAATGAATAAATAAAATCTTTAAAAAAAAAAAAAACAAAAAAAACTACCCCTGAGTGAGAGACACATGCCAAGGAATGGGGTCACTGAGTGCGGGTAGCTAGTTCCTTTCCACTGGGACGCTGTGCAGCCCGGGGCCCCCAGGACACCAGCCTGGCTGGGATCATGGTCTCACGGAGAGCCAGCTGCACACCTCAGCACCCCGGGGGAGAGCGCACGTCCTGGACCAGCTCCTGCACACCTTCAATACACTATCTCCTACTCCTCGGGAGCACCTCCGCCCCTCGGCGGCCGGCAGACGCCGTGCTCTCCCGCAGCCACAGGTCAGGGCGCAGCACAGCCAAAACCAAACCCCGCCCCCTCTGATGGCATCCCATGAGGCCGTAACTGCTAGAATTCCACCTCCGAGTGGGAAAATCTTTTCCAGTTCAAGTCGGATGAGATGGGGATGTTTATTTGCTGGCTTCTATGACTGCAGCAGGACTCCCATCTTTTGGCGGGTCACAGAGGTGAGGAAACAGCAATAGTGCTGTCCCCAGCACCCCAGAATTCCGCGGGATGGGACCTGTCCCTCCTCCTGGGGGGTCTGGATCACCATGGCCCTGCCTTGCTTCGTTCCTCACAGGAATCCCAGAGGGCACCCTCAAATAAAACAGTCTTTGATTTTCCCAAATTGCAAACGTGATGCCAAAATGTTTTTGCGCTTTTCCACTAAATATACGCCAATTCAGCCAGGTTCACAAAGCTCCCCCCAGGCAGGTGTGTCAGCAAGCTTCCCAGACACTCACCTCCTGGGGTTTGGGTCCGGCAGGATCTCCCTAGGAAATCTCAGCTCCCATCCTCTGAAATAACTGAGTCCTGCCTCTACTTTGAGTGGAAGTAGGAGCTGAGACTCTCATAGCAAGTAGACCTGTACCTTTTCATTTTTTATAACTCTCCTGCCTGGCGCCAGCCCCCACCAGAGGAGGGAGCAGCGCCTCCCCCTGCCCAAGCCTGAGCGCCTCGCTACCTCCCTTTCCCGACAGGCCAGGCCTGGTCCGGTCAGGCAGAGGGCAGTGGGTGCGCTCCTGCAGCCGCTGTCCAGGTGGGCCTTGGGGGCATGGGGCCGCTGCGGGTGGGCGAGGGGTCCGTCCACTGCATGGAGGGGCATGGTGTCCTGGCTCCTGTGCAGGGTTTAAATCTGTCCTTGGCTCCGTGAGAGACTGCGCTCACGGAGCACACAGTCTCTCACGTGGCTCTGGAGTGCTGGACTCACACCGATCCTCCTCTCCTTCACGCTCAGCTGGTTTGCAGCAAGCATGCACAATGTGCTCGTGGGGCTGGTGTCCCAGTCCCACAAACGTTCTCAGGGCCTGGGGGCCTCTCCACCCACCTGCCCGGGCTCTTACCTCCATTTGCATCTGTGAGCTCCGTCCTCCGCAGGAACCCCAAGTAGCCTGTCCGCGCCCAGACCGTCTGGGTGTCTCCAAAACTTAACCTTGAGTTGAAGTGGTCTGACTGCAGGGACTCATCTCCGTAAATGGTGAAATAACCACTGGCATTGTGGGCACTGTGAACCCAGATCTGTGAAGGAAGCAACAGAACTGGGTGAGTTCGCTGGGGAGGATCTGCAGGGAGGAAACTACCTGGGCAGTCAGTGACATCAGAGTGCCCATGCCCGGCGGGGAACCCGGCCGTGTTAATCTCACGCGGGCTTCAGGGGAGACTCAGACGCCACAGTATTTACTGGAATAGAGCCACTAAGTGAACAACGAGGCTGTCCACCTCTCGAGAAGCCCATTAAAACAGACTGAGGGTTTTAAAGTGAACATATCAAATGTGTTCACCGCTGGGCACCTGCGGCCACCTAGTCCTCTGTGCTGAACAAACCAAAGCCTAGAGCAGACACAGAAGTGACACCATCATTCAGGGGGAATGAAACCTGTCCCCTGCTCTCCAACACACAATTTCCTCATTAAGACACATTCCCGGTCAGAAAACAAGAGTGAGGTGGATTCTGACACCCGGCCGGCTCCCCCAGGTGCCCAAGACAGCACGCTGTCCTCCCCAATTTCATCTAGCAATGTACTTAAAGGAAATTCCGAAATAAGATCTGTACGGAATTTTATCACCTCAGCTCTGATCTTTACACATAACTGAGAAATTCAAATGAAGGGCCAAGCCGCAGCCCACACAGAAATGGAGTCTGGGGAGCGGTCAGTCTGTCCTTTAGTCACTGTTTACAGCTCGAGGCCTCCGGAAGAAGTGGTGGCCCAGCTTTGTTGTTTCAGCTGAAGGCGGGCTGACACAGGAGGTTAGCGTCCCGTGCACAGCAGAGTAATCTGACACTTGTATGTGGAACAGTAACTGTAGTCACCGTGCAACATTATTACACTCCCCAGGCTGCACTCTATTCCCGAGACTCACTCACTTCACAACTGCAAGTCTGTACTTCCTAATCCGCTCACCCACCTTCCCCTCCGCCAACCACTGGTTTGTTCTCTGTGTGTTGTGTGGTGGTGTTTTTAACGGGGTGTCAGCTACAGGCAGGTCTGTAAGGAGGGAAAGCTGACCACACAGGGCCAGTGACCCTGACAGCCAGGAGGCTCTCCCCGGGCAGGATGGGCTTCCTTCCACCCAGTGCACAGGGCAGGCTCGGCCTTGGAGAGAACGGGAGGGAAGGTAAGTGTGTTGGCACCCTTCCCTGATGTCCTCTGCGTCCTCTGTGGCCTGGCTGAGTGGGGCAGGGGAAGGATCGGGGACGGCGGGCTGAGGATGTGTGTTCTCCAGCCGCACGCGGCAGGAGGGGTGGTCAGCCAGGTTTCACCGTAAATATGGGCTGAAGGGTCAAAGCCAGTACGGACTTTCCGACCGAAGGAAATACCTGTCATTTCCTAACCTGCTTGCTACCGTTTACTGATATTCTATGAGTCTAGGCTGTGGCCGTACGCTCTGTGCACACTGCTCCGTCCTCATCCCCATGAACTCAGCAATGACAGCTTCCTTACAGAAATCCACTTTGTAGCCTGAACTTTCACAGCTCATTTTGAGTCACTTTCCAGCCAGTCAGTTGAGACTTACCCAATCTGATCAGGAGGTGTTGCCTCCTGCCTCTTGCCTCACCCAGGTTGGCATCCCGTAATTCACCTCACCAGAACGAGTACCCCATAAGTCACCTCTGCTGGGGGGCACCTGTAACTTGCCTCACCCAGGGGGGCACCCCATAACTTGCCTCACTCAAGTGAGCACCCCATAAGTCACCTCTCCCAGGTGAGTACCCTATAACTCACCTCTCCTGGGTGGGCATCCCATAACTCGGCTCACTCGAGTGAGTACCCCATAAGTCATCTCTCCCAGGTGGGCACCCCATAACTCACCTCACCCGGGTGGGCACCCCGTAACTCGCCTCACCCAGGTGGGCACCCCATATCTCACTTCTCCTGGGTGGGCACCCCATACCTTGCCTCACTCAAGTGAGCAACCCATAAGTCACCTCTCCTGGGTGGACACCCCGTAACTTACCTCACCCAGGTGGGAGTCGCCCAACGGTCCTTTTGTTTCTGGATTGGCAATTATGATCCGAACCCCTGGAAGTATCTATGTGGGAAAGGAGAACATTCTGGTCAGTGGACAGAGAGGTAGATGCTACACTCCAATCAGCCTTGACCTTGCCTTCATGTCACATGCCTGTTTTCCTTTCTAAAACTGTTTAGAAAGTAGTATGGCTTTAAATTAAAATTACATACCACAGCATGACATAATTACTATGTGACAATTGCATCTTATTGCAATTATTACTACAGTGATAAAGCCTGTGTTAACGTGATCTTAAAATTAAGAATCTGAATAAAAACAGGATAAATGATGTAACTCAGCCTGATGCTGGCAAAACAGGAATCTTCAGGTATTTCAATTAATTTTCCAGTTATGTTTAACATTGTGCGTGACATCATGGGACGCTGATGTGGAGGAAGGGGTGAGGTTTGCAGTAGGCACTGAATTAAGGAGGTCACGGATCAAGTTTTCCAAGATGAGTGTGGACTGAAAGCACAGGTGGGCACGGCACAGTGCGGTGGCAGGAGGAAGAGCCGGCGCATCCCAGCGTGTTCTGACTTGAATGCCCGTCCAGCTCTCCATCTTGGTTATGCTTCAACACCCTCCTGCACGTCACTGTCTTGTATCAGAATGCTCATATCAAGCATCTCCCTCTTAATGGAAGTTTGGCTTGGAAACATTCTGAATTTCACTAACACCACATGCATATGGCAGCAAAAGCTGGTTCTGCAAATTTAGAAAACAGCCCGTGTTGGTTCAGCTACTGGGAAGGGTTGAGATTCAACAAAACATCGGTGGTGAGAAGTCCTGTCCCATCCCTTGAGTCTGACGTGTAATATGGCAGCTCTGGTCCCTCGTCCTGCTAACGACTGGCTTAGGGCAGGCAAGCACAGCGTCCTACCATTAGAACCAACTTAGTACTAGAACTCTAACTGGCGCTCATGTAGACGGAGATTATAAAAGGTCCAGAAGCAACACGAGGCACTTCTGGAATTACGTCAAGTGGGGCCAAAAACAGGAAAAAGAAGTCTTCACTTAGGTGTAAGTGAAAAACATACCCACAGTGGCAGAAACTACTTTGTCCCCTGACCACCCTTCTTCGTCTACTTTCACAGCAATTGGACCTGGGTTTTTAGCTAGGCCCACGGATATTCAGAACCGATACAACGTTTCCAACCTTTCTTTCAGCCAGTGTGACTGCATGACCAGATTCTGGACAGTGGCACTGAAGTGTGTATAAGGTGGCTTAGGAGCCTTTGCTGAGGTCTGCACCTTTAGTTTCCCTTTGCTGCTTTTGCTGCTGCTGGAATGTGGAAGCGATGGCTAGGGTGGGAGCAGCCACTTCTGACCCTGAGGCACCCCGGGAATGGGATCCATGCAAAGCAGAACAAGACAGAAGGTGGCAGGGCCCCTGGAGTTTTCATGATGTCTTTTATGTAAGAGAAAAGAAAAATCTAGGGGCGCCTGGGTGGCTCAGTCGTTAAGCGTCTGCCTTCAGCTCAGGTCATGATCCCAGGGTCCTGGGATCCAGCCCCACATCGGGCTCTCTGCTCCGCGGGAAGCCTGCTTCTCCCTCTCCCACTCCCCCTGCTTGTGTTCCCTCTCTTGGCTGCATCTCTCTCTGTCAAATAAATAAATTCTTTAAAAAGAAATTGTTTAAAAAAATTTAAAAAAAGAAAAAAATCTAACTTGTTTAAAACACTGTTGTTTGTGGAGTTTCTGTACTCATGGCCAAACCTAGTCCTGAAATACTACATTTAAGAAAACTTTTTGGAGAAGATACTATATAAAATACATTTCTTAAAATGTCAAAGCCCATACGCTGAGACTCAAACTTACACAGAAATGTATCTTTCTTCCTTCAATACTTACTTTTCCTGATTCCATGAGGGGCAAGCTATGAGGAGAGCCTCTTTCCACCAAGCGGACTCTGCAAACAGAAAAAGAAAGTATGATGACTTGGGTGTTTTTGAGCCTACGGTTCCCTTCCTCCATATTCAGCACCTGGTCAATGCCGGGTGGGTTGCTGGGGGATGTTCAGTCTGCTCGTGAGCACCGTTCAACACAAAGACAGTTCAGAAATCAAAGAATAAGTGGTCTGGCAGCAGACGGCGGCTGAGCTCTGGCGGGGAGATGGAGAGAGATACGGGACACGCCACAGAGGCCACATCCCAGTCACCAAGCCTGCACAACAGCTGGGAAAATGATTCTGCATCGAGAGGAACCAGGACTCAACTCAGCACTTGCAGAAAAGGAAAGGAGTAAGCATTGCACCATAGCTCTGAACCCGCTGCAGGCCGTGGGGACCGCACTGCCCGGGGCTGAGGCGCTTGTGAGGCCTCAGCAGGGCCCAGGTCTGTGGCTGCAGAGAGTCTACCTTCTGACCCAGGTGTGTCTGAGCCCCTGGGGGACAGGACTGGCCAATTTGGACAGCAAAACCTCCTTTCAGAAAAGAAACTCTTTTCCATTAAAAAAATACTTAATGGTGACTAAATCTTAAGAACTGTGGGCGGGGACGCCTGGGTGGCTCAGTTGTTAAGCATCTGCCTTCGGCTCAGGTCATGATCTCAGGGTCCTGGTATTGAGCCCCGTGTGGGGCTCCCTGCTCGGCGGGAAGCATGCTTCTCCCTCTCCCTTTGCCCCTCCCCCGCTCGTGCTCTCTCAAATACATAAAATCTTAAAAAAACAAAACAAAACAAACAACTGCAGACGACACTGGTGTGATCACAACCTGAGCTGGCTAAATCCTTCCCAGCTGTTTTTTTTAAATGCCTGGTTTTGCATCTTGGCCACCGTACTACAGGACTGTGATGCTGTTCATTCATCTAAAAGGCAGTTTTTATTGGAAGAGAGTGAAGCGCAGGAGAAAGTGCTTGAATCCTGTGGAGCGGGAGTTGGGGGCATGGAGAGGTGGAACGCTGTGTCTCCACGCCCGTGGGGAAGTGAAGCTCAGCACGCCCCAGCCACCCTCTGCATGATCACAGCGATCCTCCTCCTAACTAGTAAGTACTCCAAAGATGGAAGGGGGCCGGAGGGGTGCTGCTGGGCATGTGGGGCTCCGCAGCCAGCCTTTGGTGTGGTGCCTCCTGTTGCTGCAGCTGAATCTTGGGGGTGGGGGCAGGAACAGGAGGACTGACACCTTCTCTTCAGCAGCCTTGGGGAGGGAGGGAGAGCACCTGAGCGGTGGCAGCGGTAATCTGATGATGTGGAAGAACTCACTATTCCAATTTTGGGTCATATGGTAACCACTAGGATCTCCGGTGTTTGTCTCAAGGAAGACTTGATGCTGACGGCAGCAAACGAGGGGTCATCCAAGAAAAACAGCCTAGATCTCATGCCCTCCGGGAACAGTTCTAGAATATGCCATTGGGCTTAATGACATTAACCTTCAAAGATAACGCACCTGGTGCATTACTCCAGAATTGTAAGAGACACACCCGCTCAGGACCCAGGGAGGCTGCGTTAGGGCTAATGGCCCCCATCGCAACAGCACTGAGAACCTGCGGGCTTCGCCTTGTCGCACTTGTAGACAGACGTGGTGCTCATGCTGGGTCGGGAGGCCAGGACCGCGACACTGAGCTAGCGCCAGGCTCATCTGAACAGCCAGGTGAAGTGGACAGGCCTGTGTCCAGCGGCTGGCTGCCCATCTGTGGCGTCTGGATATTGGCAATTTGCTACAGATGGAGAAAGCCATGGGGATGTGAGGCCAAACTGGGCGGACAGTTAGAGGAGTGGGTGGGCTGAAGGAGAAAGGGCCAAGCAGGCCCACTGTGTGGCCCGGTCCCTGCGTGAGCAGGGCTGCTGTGTCTGGGGGTACCCAGCGGGCCAGCAACCAGGACAGGCACCCCCACAGGCCAGGAAGTCAGGCTGGGGAGCAAAACTGAGCCAAAAATGAGGGCTGTTTCAGACACACTTCCGCTCTGCTGGCTGTCCACGCACAGTGACCACTATTTTAGGATGTTAGAAAGCCCGGCCGGGCATTTTGGACATATCAAGCAGCTCTGACCACTGCATTAGGACTGTGAGGATGTCAGAAAGGGCATCCTGGTGTCAAGGGTGGAACCAGAAAACAAGGGGCAACGTCCCTAGATGCTGGCGTCTGGGGCCCAGGACCTGCTCTCCCTCCCCGCAGGCTTCTCCCCAGGCCCATGCCTGGCCAATACGAGGGAAGAGCACAAGGGCACGCTGCCTCAGCGAGCGGGGCTCCTGGCCGCATGCACACTGGCTGGCGTCTGCCTCCCTGAACAGCGGCCTCCTCTGCCCTCTTCCTGCTCGAAGAGATTACTTGTGCCCTGTCCTTCCCTGTCCGACACTCAGAGAAAGGAGGGATCTCATCTCACATGTGGAAGAAAGGAGGCTCTACCATGAGGAAGGTCTTCTGTGGTCAGTATGGAAACGGTGTACTGTGTCTCCATAGGGAGCAGGAACAGGGTGCTGGCATCGCTCACGGTGGGTCCCACATAAAAAGCTACAAATGCCACAGAAGATTGCCCTTCATCCACATGAAAAGAAAAATATCCCGAGGGTGAAATGAAAAAGAACCAAACCAAACCAAACCCTGCTTAAACAAAAAGGCAAAGCTGGCCAGCGTCAGGTCAGAGGACATCCAGTGGGCACCTGCCCTGCGGCCCGCGGCCGTGTGCTGCTGTGGGCACTGCTCTCTCCCTACGGTTTGCAAGGTTGTGGCCACACGACAGCACATGGGAGGGGTTGCAGGGACAGGCTCTCGGCCAGCGAGTGGGCCTGGATCTGTCCCACAAGGACGCGGAGCGGAGAACGCAATCCTGTCTTCCAAGAGAGGACAGACAGCCTACAGCAGAGACCCTCTCGGGAAGACAGACGGACGCGGCATAATCCATCTGACACAATGCAGGAGCTGATGAAACCCGCCAGCCCTGGGACGGGGACGTTCCACCACTGCTCTGGCTGCCCTCATGTCCATTCCTGAAGACCGAGCTGGCTCCCCAGGTCCCGAGTAAGACCCCTCCCCAGCCGACGCGATGCTCACCAGCACACGAGCGCGCTCGGGGCGCTGGCTGTCCCATCCCCCTCTGACCTGGCTATGCTCCTGTGGGGAAGAGCCCTGCCTCATCTCTGACATTCCTAAACTCAAGTGCAAACCCTGGGCTTCTGAAAACATGTTTTTCCGCCTAGGCTGTCTTAATGACTTGAAGTTTAGGCTTTTGCTAGAAAAGAAGAGACAGCAAGGAACACAGGTAATGTGGGGGAGATTTATGATTCCTGATAAAATCCCTACCTCGTGCTCTGTCCTCGGGCTGTTCTTACCCCGACCCGAGCTTCACCCGGAAAGGCAACACACCATCGGGCTGATGCCAAGGGGCTGCTGACGCAGGGTCGTTGCAGCGAGAGGTCCGTTTGCAAAGGCTTCCTTCCTCGTCAGGACTTCCTCCCGCCGCGCGGGACAGGCTGGGAGCACGCCACAGGCTCACGAGCTCTCCAACATGCTCGCCCCCTTCCTCCACCTGACACGGGGCTGTGGACCACGAGTCTCGCCCTGCGGACAGGAGCACCTTGCCCTCCCGGGTCCAGGCCCGCTGATGCTGCCCTACACCCACTGTCACCCACTGGCTCAGGAGACACGAAACCACCCAGACATCACACCATCTGCCCCAGTACGAGCGAGGGCGTGCGTCACGGCCGCTGTCAGGAGCATTCTGATGGGGGACCTGTCCCTGCTGGTCACGCTGCTGCCCAGCCCTGGCCTCCTGGCAGTCGCTTGTGATCTGGGGGTGAGCACCATCTGACCTTCAATTGCCACAGCCCGCTCTGCTACACCAGACGCAGAGGAGGGTACAGGACCCAGAGTCGTCCGCCCGTGTGAAAACGAGCTTCTGTGCAGCCTCCCTCCTGGCCCATGCCCCGGACGTGCTGCTAGAAACCAGGCTGGGCTTTCACTTAAACGTTCTTCCAAAAAATCTGAAGCATCTAACATGCTGAATGTAACACAGTAAGACCATTGGCATGAAAAGTTGTTTAAAGTCCCAGAAGATGGAGGGGAAATCCCTAACGACGGGGTGTGTGTGACGGCTTCACAGACGTGGGTCTCCACTGTAGGTGCTGTGGCTGAATCTTGCCCTCAGCCTGCTGGTGGCTGAGGCACAGGGAGGAAAATGAGACAAAGTTTACCATCCAAGTTTGGCACTAACGGCGTGCTGCTGCTGGAGGAGCGTATCCGAGGACGTACGAGGGACATCATGGTCACAGCCCCGAAACAGGCGCAAAACAGCAGAACGCACCAAAAGCAGCGTGGCCTCTAAGGGAAGCTCGTCCCTGGAGTCAGCCCTTGATAACAGCGATGGGTTACATGCGGGCCAGCAGCCCCATGGTGTCGTGGGAGCCCCAAACCGGGGGAAATCACCCCAAAACCAGTGATAACAGGCAGAACAGGAGAGCATGCTTACCTAATATAACCACTGTGCAAAGAGAATGCCTATGTGCATCTGGTGCCTTTTCTCTTATAAAATTACAAACCTAACACGCTCTTGCCCCCAACATCCCTCCTTCCAAATCCTGACTTTTGTGTTTCTCCTCGTCTTTCCCTCAGGTTGAATGGAGCCCTGCACCCTTTTCTTCCTGTTGGCGTCTGTTTGTGGACACCCAACTGAGGGTGTGGGCCAAGCCCTGTGTCCATTCATAAGATTCTGATGCAAATTCATTCAAATTAAATTTAGGAAAAACGTGTTTTTCAGACATCCAGGCTTTTCCTTTTAACTCGTAGCATTTATTTTTAGGAGTTTTATTTTTTATTTTTATTTTTTTTAAAGATTTTATTTGAGAGAGTGAACTAGAGAGGGGGAGGGAGAGAGCGCGCAAGTGTGCATGAGCAGGGAGCCCGATGCGGGACCTGATCCCAGGACCCCAAGACCATGATCTGAGCCGAAGGCAGACGCTTCACCGACAGCACCCCAG